TATCCCACGAAAATGAATAATATTATCATGAAAATCAACTTCACAATGAAGTTCGAGCTAAATTATTACAAAACAAATTTTTAATTTGATGGTTTTATACTAAATAGATAGAAATAGACCAAACACGAACAATTTCTTTAACAGAGACATTGTTAAAGTCATTAAACGATTTTAACGCGAAAGGTTGTTTTATATTTTTCCAATTTGCACGATAAACTTTTCCAAAGCCACCCTTACCAATCACTTCGAGATTACTAAAATGTTTGTATTCATAGTATTTGATATTTTTACTTGAAATATATTCTTCAATCCACTTATTTGAATTATTAGCAGCTTGCATTTTATTTTATAAAAAAAATGCATTTGGTCGATCATGCAATTTTAACCCACCATTCATTATACATTTAATTATCTGTGATGTAACGGTGCAGTGAAACTTCCATTTATCATTTATAAATTATATGCATTTTTCTTGTAACCCCACTATCACTTATAATTAAATAAAATTATCAAAACTAAAAATAAAATAAGAATATGCCCATTAAAGTTAAAGCGAAGAGATTACAAAAAATAAGAAATATAATAACTTAATGAAAAAAAAATAACTTACTCGTCTAAAGAGAAAAAAATAATGAAATATGAATCGTCGCTCGATTTAACCTTTTTAAGTTAGTATAACATTAGCGGAAATAAATAAAAATTCGTTAAATCGACTTTCAGAGATATAATCATCAGGTCAGGATAATATTTAATGTCTAAATACAGTAATCCAAGCGATGTCATCGCAACAATTGAACCATTCGTAATTTTACTTATAAGGAACATATCGTTATTAGTCATGCAGATAAATCATTGGCTATACGAAACGTTGATTTAACGCTAAAAAACTCAAAATAGACAAAATAGACATGACAAAAAAGGCATTGAGGTCGACTCCGGAGAGTTATACAAGGACAAAAGAGACTTTGAGGTCGTTTCCAAGGACGTAAAAGGCTTTGAGGTCGATTCCGGAGACTTCAGAGAGTTACTAGAATTATCGAATAACTACTCAACCACTTGATAAAGACCAATGTTTCATACAAATGTATTTTCAATGAAGAATGGAATTATAATTTCATCGAGTAAGAATTTATTAACTAATAATTTTTTTTTATTTATTAATGATGAAAAAAATAGAGAACCAACTAATGAATTGATAAAATTTGAATAACGGCCGATTATTATAAATAGGAACCGACAGTTTCGACGACGTTATTGATTCAAGGATGTAATTTATAAACACCAATAATACAGAAATTTTGATATTACATAGACATATTGGTGACAAAATTAAATTTACGCTCATGACACCTCATGACCTTTATTTTCGTTAAAGAGTGAATATGATATTTAGGATTTCTATATGTAGAAATTTTTTAGATAAAAATGTCTCCTTATGATCGTACCGAGAATCAACTGAAAAAGATTGGAAGTTCGTATAAGAGATCAAATGCAGTCATTTAGTCTTAATTTTGGTGATATTATATTTAATCACATAACAACGATTTATGACTGAATTTCAAATGGAATACCTTTGGAAGATTATATTATTATATTTTGTGGGGATTTTTTACCATGCTTTTGCTCATCTATGATGTCAGATGAAAGAAGAAATGTTTTTTTAAGGATCTGTATTATTTTGGATTGTTTCATATCATTCAGAAACGGGAAATTAGACAAATTATCTAGGAAAATGAAATTGTTACGATACCCAACAGAGAAGATAATAAACAGGCGAATAATTATCAGTCAAATCTTCAACGTCGTTTGAATAACAACGATACTTCTTCTAACTTAAATAATACATTTGGAGAAACATCTCAAATTATTCGATTTGATCAGATAAATTATCAAAAGAATAATTATGCATCAAATAATTCTAAAATTATTCATGCTTTGGCTGGTCAGAATAATTTCGTAGTATCAGATATTATTTATGATGATACTATTGAAAGTTTAACGATTACGGATTTAAATAAGGATGACATATTAAACGCCTTAGGAGGATTACTAAGATATCGGAAATTAAAAATACTTATTTGCAATAAAGCTAGTATTACTAGCTTACCAATCTTACCCAACTCCTTAACGGTACTAAAATGTTATTGGACTAAAATAAATAGCTTACCAACTTTACCCAACTCCTTGAAGGTACTCAAATGTTATTACTGAAATAAATAGCTTACCAGCATTACCAAACTCCTTAATGGAACTTGATTGTTCTAATACTCCAATAACTATACTACCAACTTTACCCAAATTAACATATCTCCATTGTTACGGTGCACAAATAAAAAGCTTACCAAATATACCCGATTCCTTAACAACTATATACCCGAAATCCTTAAAAGCTAAAATACGACAATAACTACTATATGCGTTTGAAATATTAACTTTAATTTTAACCTTCTTTAATGTTTATTATAGTTACTCCTCAAAAAATCTTAACATTCTTGTAAGCAAATGACAAAGTCAAAACATTATATTACGACGGATTTATTAATAAGACTTTAATATAGTTTTGACTTTGACGGGATTTAATTATGGTTTCGAGTTTCAAAGGTTTGCTAATACCCTGTCAAAACCTGAGATTTTTCCAGGCAACTATAATATAATAAGAAATCCCGGTAATTTATGTTTTATACTTTTTTATAAGCGAAGCAAATATCAGAATATTTGCTGCGATTACTTTTCATTTTTATACAATATTAAAAAAATTTTCATCAATCTTTCTCTTTTATCTTGTAAATTATTTTCAGCAACATTTATATGCTCTTTATGATTATGTTTTATTAATGAATTTTTATACGCCTATTTGCGGATTTATAAGAATTCTGATTTATACCCAATGACTTTTATCAAAATATTAAGAGATTATCGGAATTTAATTCGTCATATTAAATAAAATTAAATTATGTATTTAATTTTAATTAGTTTTATGCGGTTTTAGTTTCTCTTGATTACAAAGATAAGTCATTTTTAGCCGCTTCATCTAGAGCACATTTCTCAGTTAAATACGTTTTCAAAATGTTAAAATATAAATTTCTTCTTTTCGGTGGAATACTTTAATTAGTTAATTTTTTATTTTCAATTGTGTTTTCACATAAATGTTTAAACTTTGACTGAAACTTTATTCATGATACGAAATTTTACAAATATAAATTATATTTCTCTCCAGCATTCCTAAAAAATTATATCACTAACATTGATCGTAAATTTTAGCTTTGGATGAAATAAACCCACCCAAAAGAGTAGTTTTTTATCCATTTTAATTTCAAATTCTGATAAATTATCTTTTGTCAGTACTTCTTATAATAAATGAATAATAAATGAATTTGTCGATCGTATTTTAAAAGAAATTATTTTATTTTGCAATGAATACATATTGCACGAAATACTACTTCATTTCAATTGTGCTTCACTGTTATTATTATGCTCATGCTAAGTCTACGGTTATTTTCTATAAGATTTTTCCAATGACCTTCGGAAACAATAAAGTTCAAATCAAGAAAAGAAGGTGTAGTCAATAAAAAATTTTGATTAACAAATTTTTAGCTCGATAATTTTCAATCATTCGAAATCGAAAAATCGAAAAAAATTTTATAAAGTATTTTTATAGAATTTGTAGTATATAAGTGTATTATTGCAAAATACTGGTAAAATTTTAATAAATTGTTCTCGTAAGATATAGTTAAATAGATTAATCTTTAATTTTAATATTTTAAAGATGATGTTGAATCAACAAAATTTCAGATCCAAGCATATTAAAACAATTATGTGCAAATACATTGGAACTCCTTTCAGCCCCAAGCTAGGAAAAGAATTGAGAATATTTCTGTGGTAAACAAAAAGTGTCTAAATTGAGTTTGTTTGTTCATTTATTAATTAATTCTCGTTTCCCTTTAGATAGGGTTTTTTTTGCATTAGAATCTATTCATTGTTATTCAATTTGTGATAAACAGTCATAAGAATTTTTTTTTTGAAATGGAAGTTTATTGAATTTAATAAATTAACGTGATATCTGGTGGACAAGTGATACAATTCTTTGGGAAGATTAGGTACTGTACAATTTCTAGTTAAAATTGATGGAAAGATAAAAGTTTGGAATCTGAAAATGTAAATATTTTTATAATAATTACAGTTGGTATATTATTTTACAAGAATATACACAGTTCTTGGTCAGTTCATTAGTAAGTTGTTTTCAAAACTTATATATTAACCTTTCTTTTTAAAATATATATAATTTATGAATAATGTTAAAGATATCTATATTTTAATGATATATTAGCTAAAGAAATTTAAAAATTCAAGCCAGATAAAAATTGCATCAAAATAAATGCTTATTTTTAAATAAATTGTATCAGCTTACCACATTAGGATATAATAATATTTCTATGGATGTGAGGTGTTTGCTGGTTTTAAAAGATAGTTCAGAGTAACAATTTGACTATAAAGAAACTTATATGCATCTTAGTTGCCAATGATAGATGAATTTTCTAAAAAAAATAAAATGATTTATTAAGAAGAATTTGCCAAATAATATTAGAGGTTATGAAATACTGATTTGTGAAAAGGAAGAAGATTTATTGGTTTTTCAACTCAATAAACAACAGGGATCAGACTAATGTAAAGTGTTAATTATTCAATTTGGTAAACAAATCTTTGAAAAATTATAATATAGGGATATTATACTTTGTAGGATTATTGTGTAGAATATTTATATGATAATGAAAAAAAAGCATTATATGAAGTTTGACAAAGATGACTTCAAGCTTGAATATAATGCAGCATGTCTTAAAATACTTTACACATCAAATAATTATGTTAGTAAAATTATCGAGGTACAATTTTTTATTTGTTTAAAGCAGAGATTGCAACATCAGGTATTCTTCTGATAATTGATGTACATATTCCTAATTCAAAAATGAAGAATTCATAAAAATATTCCAATCGTTTTAAAATTGTATTTGAATAATGCAAGTCTTTTTTTAAAAGCAAGAATTATAAAGAAAATTTAAAAGAGTTATCTTTTCAAGATATTTACTTGAATTAAATAGATCACAATCTGAAATTGAAATGATTGCACTTTTAGATGGTTGATATCTTATAATAAGTCATAGGAAATAATAAATTAACACTGGAAAGATTCGTATAATGTATAGAGTTATCTACTTTTTTTATTAAAAACAAAACAATACATTATATTTAGATCCAAGTTTTGATTATAATATTACCAAAGATTTTAGAAAAACTTAGATTAATAATAATTAAAGTTTTTCAAATATTGATAAAAATAATCAAATTTTTAAAAATAACTTTGAATTTAAAGTAAATATACAATTAATATAATTATAATTTAGTAATTTTAACACTAAACAGATATTATGATAAAATATATAATAGTTATATAGAGTTAAATATTTCTTAAACCAATTCAATACATGAATTAACAATAAAAACATTTTTTATTCAAAACTAAAACAATAAAATAAGTATACAATCTACAGCTAATGAGTCATTTTGACCATTATTTATTTTGAAAAAAAATATTATAAAGTTTACAAAATTCACTAAAGCATATTGACAACAATTAAAAAAAAAATTGTTTTACCTACATATGACTTTAGTCTAATAAAAAAAAGTTAGTAAAATCAGTTAAAATTATCTTATTGATTCTTATTAATATTAAGAAATTTTATGATTTATTTCTTATCATGACAAATAATTTCTTTGAAGTAAAACTAAAGTATTCAGTATTATATTAAAATCAAAATGATAATCCTATATGATTATTTAGAAAATATTGGGTCAAGTATGCTGATTTTCTTTCAAATACTTTTGCAAATATATGGAATCATCTAATATATAGAATTAAATCATGAATAATTTTTTTAATTCTTCAAAATCATTTGATACCTAATGAGAAACATCATCAACATCTAATAAAGTCAACATTTTTATAAGACCCCATTTAAGAATATAATACAAAATTTTGAATTCTTCTATTTCAAGTTCATTCTT